ATTCTCTGAGGTCTACAGTTCCTTGGGGCCACCTCTTCCAGTGCTAAGAGAACCTCTCCATCTGGTAAATAAAACACTCGATGGCGTATTATTTTTATTATGTTTTTTCCAGACAGGGTTCTCAGTGTAGCCCTGTCTGTCTTGGAACTCGCTCTGTAGACCAGGCTGGCCTTGGACTCACAGAGTCTGCTGCTGCCTCCCAAATGCTGGGATTAAAAGTGTGAGCCACCACTACCCAGTGATGGTGTCTTGTTTCTTACTGCATCCTAAGGTGGGATCTCTAACCCTGCTCAGGGCCTCTGGCTCCGCCAGCTCCATCCCTCCCGCTTTGCTATCCATCCTGTGGCCTCATCCAGACTCGTAGCCTTAAGAACATCTCCACACTGTTTCCCTGAACTCTGTCCTCATACATCGGCCATTCACGCTTGAGACAAATACGCATAGGCAAATGGTGGCACGCTTGGATCAGTTTCCCAGAATGCTCAATCCCAATGGAACCCTGCTCCAGCTGCTCAGGCTAACCTGTGCGATGCTCCCAATGCGTCTCTACCTCACGCCGTCAGCAAGTGTGTATGTCTGTAGACCTGACCACTCTCTGTCCTGTGCTCACTGTCGCTGGACCCAGATTGTGGAGACAGTGTAATGCCCCCATTCCCCCATTTTCATCCTGTCCCAAGAAGTTCCCGCTCTGTAGCCAGGAGTCTCGCACAGTTGCTGGGGTCACTCCTTCCTCCCCTCTACGCAATGTCCGCACTTTGTAGGGAACATCAGCTGCACTCTCGTCCCCCGCCCCATACCGGTCTCCGTTTGTCTCCACCCAGCCTCTCTCCGTGTACTTCTTTTCCGTGGCTCTCTATGAACACTGGCCTCTCGAGGCTGCTGTCCTTGGGACATATGATCCTGGACAGACAGACGGCAAACATGCTCTCAGCTTCTCCCTAACATCCCACACACCTCAGAGTGCACTGCCATTGCTGTCATCTGCTAAAGAGACCTTCCAGTGTCCTCCAGGGAATTAGGAGGAGGGGAGTCCTCTCACAGGAAAAGCCCTATGTTTGCTTGTGACCGTGAACCTTGGCTTTATATACCCTGTGACTTCTCAGACAAGGTCCACAAGAGAAACTAGCAAGCTAACAGGGACTCCCTGCAACATGAGACTCTTCTAGGGACACACACTTTGTAGAATGTCTCACTGGACACCAGCCAAAGTCAGGTCCCCAAATCATGTAGGAAGCAGCCCAAGAGGTGGGCATAAGCTCCGAGGCCAGGCATCTTTTTACCACTCAGCTCTGCACGCCTGGCTCTGTGGGTTTACAAGGAGGGTTTGGACAGTGTGTATTTGGTGTTCTATTAGTGTTTCGGAATGATTCAGGAATGTGGGGAAGACCCAGGAATGTCCATGGTGGGCCTGGCCTACAGTGTTCGCTCTTGTGCATAACCCATGGGGACTGATAGGTAGACTTCTTCATGACCCATGCCCATTTTCCCCATCCCACAGCCCCTTCTAGTCAGACCTCACGGGGCTGCACACTGACCTGGTGCCAGAAGTGTGGGCATTGCCAGGCCCAGCGCACTCTGAGGAAGGGGCTCCCATTCCCAAGGATGACTCGCCTTTGGAAGACATTCTCCACAGAAAGAGCAGAACCCCCTAGCAACTTCAGCTCAAGCGCCTTCCACACCCACCCTCCAGCCTGTATCACCAGGACTGGGGAAGAGATACAGGGGTATGTGAGGGTATCCTATCCCCAGTGGTCTGGACGAACTGCAGCACACCAGGCTTGGTGGAGAATGAAGGCTCTGTGGCCAGGTGACTAAGACCAGTTCTACCACTGGGGGGCAGGCTCCCCACTTTCCTATAGCCTCAGTGAGAACGCAGAACCAGTTTGTGGAAATCTAGACTTCCTGTAAGAAGGATCTCGGTTTTAAATAGATTTTAAAGGTTGGCAGATCCACAGGCCACATGCCTGTTTGTGAGAATGGCCTAGGCTCTGCAGATGGTCCCACTCACATCCTCGATGCCAGAAAGTTCTACCTCTTCTCTGGAAAGGATGCAGAAGGTGGCATGGTAGTGGTAGGTGTTGAGTTCATTCATCGTGGCCTTGATGGCGAATCCAGGGTGTTAGGGATTGCGGGGGATCTTCTTTCATAGAGGAGACTCTTGTGTACTTCTTGTGAAGTGTTTACATACCCTGACTTATGCTGAAGTTGCTGAATCAAATTTAAGTTTTGATAGCGACAGTACTGGTCCTATGGCCAGGCGGTGTCAGTTTGGCCTCATTGGCATCTAGGCCCTCGGGGCACACACTCTGACTTAGGAGCTGTAGAACCTGGACACCATCCAGCACACTTGGTTTTCCCAACTTCTACAGAAGGTGATGACACAGACAGATCGGCCCCGCCAACCCCCACGGCTGTGAGAAAGAAACAGCAGCTACCATTTGTCCCATTCTCACCAGGATCCTTTAAGTTCTTCTCAGCTCCGTAAAGAATGCATAATGCCAGGCAGTGGTGGTGCACGCCTTTAATCCCAGCACTTGGGAGGGAGACAGGCAGATCTCAGTTCGAGGCCAGCCTGGTCTACAGAGTGAGTTTCAGGACAGACTCCAAAGCTACACAGAGAAACCCTGTCTCGAAAGAAGAAGAAGAAGAAGAAGATGAGGAGGAGGAGGGGGGGGAGAAGGAGGAGGAGGAGGAGGAGAAGAAGAAGAAGAAGAAGAAGAAGAAGAAGAAGAAGAAGAAGAAGAAGAAGAAGAAGAAGAAGAAGAAGAAGAAGAAGAAGAAGAAGAAGAAGAAGAAGAAGAAGAAGAAGAAGAAGAAGAAGAGAAGAAGAAGAAGAAAAGAAGGAGGAGGAGGAGGAGGAGGAGGAGGAGGCAGGAGTCGTTTGGAGCCCTCATCAGCCAGACAGTCCAGCCACACATTATCCAGTCACCCTAGGCAACTCCTTAGTCCTGGTCCTCTTCTAAGACCCAAGCCTGAAGTGTGGCTCCTTTCATGAACAATCTTGAACTGAAGATGACCCTAACCCTAACCCTAACCCTGACCCTGACCCTGACCCTAACCCTAACCCTAACCCTAACCCTGAACTGAAGATGACCCTAACCCTAACCCTAACCCTAACCCTAGCCCTAACCCTAACCCTAACCCTAACCCTAACCCTAACCTTAACCTGGAATCCAGTCTCAAGTCACCAAGAGGAGATACCTGGACAGAGAGGCAGGGCTGGGTTCCAACAGTGCCGGAGGATTAAATTTTTGTTAAGATCAGCCCTGCTTGTGTCACGAAACCACAGGTATCTTATAATTGGGTCCTTTTGATGTTTTTGGTTTGGTTTGGTTTTTGTGACAGGATTTCCTGCCTCTGTCTCCCAAGTACTGGGATTAGAGGTGTGTGTCACCACACCTGGCCTGACCTTGGGTGTCTTCCTGAGTACCGGAAATAGAAGCATATGCCACCCCACCCAGCCCATCACTGGTTCCTTTAAACAGCTGTACGTCAAGGGAGAAGACAAGCGTCCCATAGCCGCTAACTCCAGGAAATTGCACACATCTAGGAAAGAGACAAAGGAGGACAAGGATGTTGCTTTGGGGAACACCCTGGATTGCTGGGTACAACATGGATTGTTCCAGAGTGCTGACTATGTGTCTATGGCCTGCTTTGCAGGGCTGAAGACAGAAGTGACTGACCATACTCTCACCTGGTCTTCAGCTGATGTTGGTGTCTGTTCCATGTCTTTGTCAGTGACCTTGTCAGCCCCAATCCTTCCTGACTTCCCTGGACTTAAATTCTATGTGGGGTTTTTTTTTTAAGTGGTCATTAGCCAAAGCTCTGTATCTCTTAGGAATGCTTTTGGAAACCAAGAGTCTGGCTCCCCTTGGCTTATGTAACTGCTCCAAATCTTGCATGTAGAGTTGGCTAGGTCTAGCATCGATCTGTCTTCTGTGTCATGTGCAATAGGCTAACAGTGTCTTCCTCCCAGCTTTCTCTCAGCATGGCTCCAAGGTGGCTGCTGCAATACCGACCATCACATCCTCTCACAGCTGTGTTCACAAACAAAGAGGCGCTGAACTCAGCTAAAATCAGGCTTCCCTTCACCTGCCATCGATGAATTGAGTCACATGCCCAAGCTCCAAGCAAAGGAGATAGAATTGCTGTGGTCAGCTTAGTCTTCAGGGTTTCCTCTTCTACCCAGTTGTCCTGAGCAACATCTGGGTAACTGAGGAAAAAAGATGCCCCTGCTACATTCAGTCCAAATTCCTCCAACATACCGAGTTTATTTACAAGACACCAAGAGTGCAGAGTCCAACAAAAAATGCATCTGTCCCTTTTATCAGAAGATCCCACATTTTTTGTTTTTGGTTCAAACTTCAAGTATCTTTGCAGTGACTTCTCACTGCCCAGGATTCTAGCTCAGGCTTGAACAGCCACACGCCGTCCACCTGCAGGGTCCATCATGGGAGGGTGAATCCCACGCCTTGGCCAGTCACTGGCAGGATTGGAGTGTGGTTCTGAGCATCTCATGCACAGGTCTCACGTACTGATACTGTGAGTGTCCTCCCTCTGAGCTCAAAGCCTGCACACTGTGGGTGGCCATGCTTTGCTCGCCAGACCCCTGCTTGGTACTAGGGGTCACTCCAGCTACCCTAGTCTTGGCTGCTGACCCATTCATTCAATGGAGTCTTACACAGTAATGCCAGTTCCAGTCCCCCCCTCACCAAAGTCCCATTTACAGCATTTTCCTCCCCCACCCAAAATCTTAGGGGCAATGGGAGACACTTCAAGGCATTGTGCTGCAGAACTCCAAGAGCAAAGACTACCCAGCCCCCCGCTGTTCACTCCTCCAGGGTACCCAGGCTAATTGCTGAGGGGCTGGCCCTGGAATATTTGAAATAAATACTCTGAGATGTGGACCACCCTGCATTTTGGGGTCAGAAGACAAAAAAGAGACTCTTGGTGTGTGGAGGCTCCTGGTGACAGCCACTGCCACTCCCTTCCCTGTATAGGTAGAGCAGATCCTGGCAGAGTTCCAGCTGCGCGAGGAAGACCTGAAGAAGGTGATGAGGCGGATGCAGGAGGAGATGGACCGTGGCCTGAGGCTGGAGACCCACGAGGAGGCCAGTGTAAAGATGCTGCCCACCTACGTGCGTTCCACCCCAGAAGGCTCAGGTACCACAGGGACCATCTGTCCCTAGACAGGACGCCCTAGACGAATGGCGGCATCCCCAAGCCACTGGATAGGTCTCTGCCCAACTGCCTAAAGCCCTGGGGTGCCCGGGCTCAGCCTGGAGCTATCAACCCTCAGGAGAACTGGTTTCTTTTTTTTGTCTCTAAGGGCACTTGGGGAACCTCCTCGTTATCCAGAGTCTAGTCTGTTACTCTGTGTAGCTATCTGGGTTCTGGCTGCCTCTTCCTAAGGCAGGGCTTTCCCACCGATATGTCCTAGTTCACCTTTGACCCTTCCGCAGCTTGCTCCTCCCCATCTACAGTCTGGGGTCCCCACACCCATTCCATGGGTCAGGCAGGCAATGAGGCTGAACGTGTCTCCCTTTGCCTGCAGAAGTTGGAGACTTTCTCTCCTTAGACCTGGGAGGAACCAACTTCAGGGTCATGCTAGTGAAGGTGGGCGAGGGGGACGCCGGGCAGTGGAGTGTGAAGACCGAGCACCAGATGTACTCCATCCCCGAGGACGCCATGACGGGCACCGCAGAGATGGTGAGGGGCTGGGAGGGGGGCTAGGGCTCAAGGTCACCCGGGGTCTCAGGAGAATTGGTCCGGATGGGAGGATTCCAAGAACAGGAGTGATGGTGAGCCACCCAGCTTCAGACAGAGACCCAAGTAGGTGGTTCAGAGGCTTAAAGTGTCCCCAGACCCAATTTCCAGTCCGCTCAGAACAAGAAGGGGCTGAAGAGAGGTCAGCAGCAGGAGAAAACCCAGCTTCTGTCCAGTTTCCCAGAGGAAAACCAAAGCTTAGGTCTGAATAGCCAGGAGTCATGCTCGCCCAACCTCCTGCAGTTCACAAAACCCAGCCTTCCTCACAGGCCACCATTAACCCGTCAACCAGGTGGCGAGGCAAGATTCACACTGTCTTCCCAAGCAGCAAGGGTCCCCTAAGCATGAGGAAGACACAGGCAGGGGACCTAGAAAGAGAGGGAGCCACAGGCTAAACCAGAACCCCAGCCATGCCCAAGGACAAGGGAAAACCCATTACCAGAAGGGCGGCCAGGCAAGAGGCTGCCCGTAGCCACTTAGCCTTCCTTCAGCACGCCTCACCACGAGGACTATTCCACTGGAAGGGACTGGGGCAGCCTTCAGCAGGGGTCAGGTGACCAGGTACCTAGGCAACAGCAAAAGAGATGGAAATCATAGTATCATAGTCATGGCCAAGAATGTGCTTCTAGCCGGGCGGTGGTGGCGCACACCTTTAATCCCAGCACTCGGGAGGCAGAGGCAGGCGGATCTCTGTGAGTTCGAGGCCGGGCTGGACCGATAGCCTCCAAAACAATACAGAGAAACCCTGTCTCATAAAAACCAAAAAAAAAAAAAAAAAAAAAAAAAAAAAAAGAATGTGCTTCTACCCAGAGCTTCATGGGACAGCCACCCAGGCTTGACGCCAGTCAGTCCTCACTGGCAAAGTGAGGAATGGGGCTGAGGGGTGCGGCTAAACAGGGTCAGCCTGTGTTGTGTCACCTTGCTCTGGGGACTGCAGTCGGCAGGACTCTCCATCTGCAGAGGCACAGCACCTGAGTCCCGAGGAGAAGCAAACTGCAGACAGGTTCAGCATACAGTTGCAGCCTCTGGGGACACTTCGGCACAGTCCCTGGGGAGCTGCTGCTGTCCAAGCCCTGACCCAGTGCCTCTCTGGTGCAACTCCTAGCTCTTTGACTACATCTCCGAGTGCATCTCCGACTTCCTGGATAAGCACCAGATGAAGCACAAGAAACTGCCCCTGGGCTTCACCTTCTCCTTCCCTGTAAGGCATGAAGACATAGACAAGGTGAGCCAGGCGGGTGGGGACTGCATGCACAGAAAGACCCCTGGGAGAATTCTGCCTTCAGTCGCAGCTCCCCAACCAAGGCTGGAAAAGAGCCCAAGCTTGGAAGAGGTTTCGATTGTGGCCCCTGTCACTTCCTATCTGGAAAGCTTTGGCAAACAGACATGACACCAGCTGATTCTTACCATGTATCAGAGCCTCTCAGGACACAGGCTATGGTCGCCCCACTACAGATAAAGTAACAGGTTAAGCAGGTTGCTCGAAGTGGGAGGTGACAACTGGCCCTGAGACTGGGGCCCCAGCTCACCAATAGCACAGACTCCTCACTGCTTCTGGCTGAGCCGGAAGTGGGAAGGGTCTGAGAATCTACCCCACTGGCAAGCCCATAAGTTACATCACACACACACACACACACACACACACACACACACACACACGCACGCACGCACGCACGCACGCACACACGCACACACGCACGCACGCGATTCTGCTTTAGTTTCCTTTATAGTGGCTGTGATTAAGTACTCTGACAAAAGCAGCTTAGGGGAGAAAGGGCTTAATTTAGCTGCCAGGTTACAGTGTATCATAGCAGGGGAGTCACAGAGGCAGAAACACAGAGCAAAGAATTCATGCTTGCTGTGTTCAGCTTGCTCTTTTCCATGCCTCTGTCTAGGGAATGGCGCCCCCCACTGGAGGCAGATCTTCCTGCCTCAATTAATGAAATCAAGATAATAGTCCACAGGCCAACTTAATCTAGACAAGCCCTTACTGAGACTCCCTCCCATGTGACAAGACAAACCATTACAACCTCTGTGTCAGAGATAAAACCAGGTCATGTCTCAAGAGGCAAAGGCACCTCCAGTAGTTTTCTAAGTCCGAAGCTCCACAGAGAAAGCTACATGTGATACCTTCATGTGTAGCAGGATTTGCTAAAGAGAGAAACCCCAGTGCTCTTCAGCAGTGTTCTCCCAGGGACTTCCTGTCCTACCTCTACTCTAGAATCATATCCCTGAGCTTTGCTGCTCGTTCATATGCTAGAGGGTACAGCTTAGCAATAGAGCGTTTACCCCAAATTCTCAAGATCTTGGGTGTCTCTGAGAGGGGTGAGTGTGTGTGTGCGTGCGTGTGTGTGTGTGCGTGTGTGTGTGTGCGTGCGTGCGTGCGTGCGTGTGTGCGTGCGTGCGTGCGTGCGTGTGTGTGTGTGTGTGTGTGTGTGTGTGTGTGTGTGTGTGTGTAGAAATTTGTTCCCAATACCTCTCAAAGCTGCGTGAGTCTGCCTCCTCAAATGTGAAATGGGGCGCCATGGACCTTTGGCCTGGTTGGTTTGAGGCCACAGCAGCAGCCGGAGTGTCTTCTACTCCTCCAGGGCATCCTCCTCAACTGGACCAAGGGCTTCAAGGCCTCTGGAGCAGAAGGGAACAACGTGGTGGGACTTCTCCGAGATGCTATCAAGAGGAGAGGGGTAAGGACACTTGTGCCTGCCCTGAGGAGTTATGCAGGCCCCTACTCCTTTGCCACAGGGCCGCCTCCTCAGCCCCATTCCACAGTCCCTGTGCTTCTTGGCAGGACTTTGAGATGGACGTGGTGGCCATGGTGAACGACACAGTGGCCACGATGATCTCTTGCTACTACGAAGACCGCCAATGCGAGGTCGGCATGATTGTGGGTAAGGGCTTGTTCCCCTGCAGTGCTGCCCCACAGGGACTTAACAGTCAATGCCAGAGCACTAACAGTTAGTGCCAGTTAGGGGACGCCTGGTCCCTGAGCCAGGTGGCCTCGGGATGTGGTGACTCGGGAACTGCATGTCGACGGGAAGTATTTCAGGGTTTGCAGCATCAGGACAGCAGAGGACTGCCAGCTGCACCTGCCTATCTGCACATAATTAAACCACTTCACCTAGTAAATTGACCGCACTGGACAAAACTGTTCAAGTGGAAGAGAATCAGCGGAAGTGGTGGCGTCACCACGCTGTTAGACGGCCCTACCCCATCCTGGCCCTGCCCCTGACAGGGGACCCAGCACTGAATCTCTGGACTGCCAGGCCCTAAACACACTCTGGAGGGAAAGAGATTCCGGAAAAAGAAGCTGTCTGTAGCTCTCCCCTCCTAACCGGGGTGGGAGCTCGACACCAATCCCCCCCCCACTGTCTCAGAAGTTCCTGCCGTCTTCTGAAGCAGTGAGTGTTTCTGTCAGATCTGTTATCTAATGCGTACAAAGGTGTAAGGATGTTTGTTTAAACTCTCTGGGCCCCAATTACCCAGAAAACCCTGTGGGTCATAGGCCCTTCAGAGACAGATCTCCAATGCCATGCGTTTGTATTCATAGGCTCTATCTGTATTTACACTGTCCCCTAAATAATATAGTCATTTTATATGCAAGCATATATAAAAATATTATAGGTGTACACACACATGTATACCTATATATATATGTTTATATATCTTTAACCTTTTTTGTTGTTTTGAGACAGAGTCTCACTGTGCAGCTCCGACTGTCCTAGAACTCACTCTGTAGACCAGGTCTGGAACTCACAGAGATCCTCCTGCCTGTGCCTCCCGAGTGCTGGGACTGAAGGTGTCGCCACCATGTCCAGTTCTGTGTATATATTTTTATGCTCTAGCCCAGTGGTTCTCAACCTTCCTATGCTGTCACCCTTTACTATAGTCCATGTTGTAGTACCCCCATCACAACATCATTTTCGTTGCTACTTTATAACAGTACTTTTGCTATTATTGTGAATTACAATGTAAATATCTGATATTTCTGATGGTCTTCGGCAACCCCTGTCGCGACCCACAGGTTGAGGACCCCTGCTCTAGTCTTCTCCCACTGCATCTCCCCCTGTTTACTATTTCTATTTTCTGTCTCGCCTCCCTTTGTATTCCCCGAGCTGTGTCCTCCATAATTCCTCTTGGGACCCCCAAGACAACTCACTTTACCCAGGCGAAGGGGCAGCAACTCTGTCCAGTCACACCACCTCCTGTGGTGTGAATCAAAAGTGATGGGTACCTTTTGGTGGCCCATCACTCAGATCTGCCCACAAACGTATGTGGTGACTGCTCAGTATCCGAGACCATATTCACGATAATTGCCAAGATTGGAGCAATTGTGCAAATTCACATCAAAATCTGGATTTCTGCGTTTCACACAAAACAAGTCAAAACTTCACTGTCCCAGACTGCCATAGAAAGCTGCTGAGTAGCATGACTCTGCTGTCCTTGCCAGCTCGGGAGACGAGCACTCCATGCAGTCTTGCTCTGCAGGAACTCCACAGTTTCACTCCGCACAAGTCTGGGCGCATGACAAACTGCTGCAGGTCCTGCCTGCGGTGGCCTCTGGACTGTTCCAGGGGCATGCACGGTGCCTTACTTCCGTTGAGATTCCCCTAAAAGGGCTCAGGAGAGAGACTTAAAGATGTGCCTACAAAGTACTAGACAACACGGGCCTGGGGAGATGGCTGAGCGCTAAGAGCATTTCCTGCTCCTCCAGAGGACCTGGGTTCCACTGCCAGCACCCACATGATGGCTCACAGCCGTCTGTGCCCTCCTAGTCTAGCTTCTGTAGCAATCTGGCAGGCACATCTGTGGTGCACAAACATACATGCGGACAAACACTCAAGTACACACAACTTTTTCAACTGAAATAATAAGATAAAACCACACCTCACATCCGTTTCCACAATGGCACGCTTCGTTTTTCTCCGTTCCCCTGACTACCCAGGTGAGGAGTGGGGATGCCATCCTTGTTAGAGGACAGTTCAGACTGCCCCCAGCTCTCGTGCATTCCACAGCTGCTCCAGCTTCCACCCCGGCCTTACAGCCTCGTGTGCCCCATCCCTGCAGGCACCGGCTGCAACGCCTGCTACATGGAGGAGATGCAGAACGTGGAGCTGGTAGAAGGGGATGAGGGACGCATGTGTGTCAACACCGAGTGGGGCGCCTTCGGGGACTCAGGCGAGCTGGATGAGTTCCTGCTGGAGTATGACCGGATGGTGGATGAAAGCTCAGCGAACCCCGGTCAGCAACTGTAAGGATGCCCCGCCCTCCTAGCCCTCCCTGGGGCTGCTCTTGCCTGGCACATCACAGCTGGGCCACAGCACATAATGGCTTGTTTATAATGAGCTCTGGGGAGGCTGGGTGGTGGTGGCGACGGGCATGCGCACCTTTAATGCCAGCACTCGGGAGGCAGAGGCAGACAGATCTCTTTGTGTTCCAGGACAGCCAGGGCTACATAGTAAGGAAGGCCTTGTCTCGAATGAAGTAAATAAATAAATAAAATGAATTGTGCCTGTCACAGGCTAGCCACCTTCATGGTACCAATCTCATGTTAACTACCGATCAGGCAAAAATACTCCAGGCTTCCGTGTGCCCTGCTGGGCACCAGTCCTGTGAGCCAATGAGAATAGCATCCCTTCGCCCGGTTGTGGGAGGATTAACGTCCCCGGCTGTGCGCTCGCACAGCGCCTGCTATCAGTAAAGTTCCAAACCTCCTCAACTCTGTCCCTTTCGTATACCAGGCCAGCAGTGGGGCCACATGTGCTCCCTCAACTGGGTTAAAAATGTGCATGTTCCTAGGACCTGAGGTTTCCGAAGTCTCTGTTTACAAACGTGGGGGCAGGGCACGAGGTCAAGGACCTTGGATGGTGGCTTGGGGATGAGTAAGGAATCACAGTGCCCCGTGTGGTCACCTCCTAACCGGAATGGGACCTGTGGGGATTTCCCGAGGACCAGCTGGCATAACCGACAGCTCATCATCCAGGTATGAAAAGCTCATTGGCGGAAAGTACATGGGCGAGCTGGTACGGCTTGTGCTGCTCAAGCTGGTGGATGAGAATCTTCTGTTCCACGGAGAAGCCTCGGAGCAGCTGCGCACGCGTGGCGCCTTTGAGACCCGTTTTGTGTCGCAGGTGGAGAGGTGCCTGGAGGGGGCAGGACCAGGGGCGGGGTCCTGGAGGAGGAGGAGGAATGGGATGGGGACAGGGGTGACCTCAGGGACACAGAGGAATGGATCGGGAGTCTAGGAGGAGCAGAGTATTGGGTTAGAGGCACAGGGAGACGCGGAGCCAGAAAGAATCCAGTGCTGACCAAACGGCTGCTGGGCGGGCCATTCCCATTCCTCCAGGATCCTCAGTGCCTTCCCTCCCCTATTCTGCCCGCAGCGACGCAGGCGATCGCAAGCAGATCCACAACATCCTGAGCACTCTGGGGCTTCGGCCCTCGGTCACCGACTGCGACATTGTACGCCGTGCCTGTGAGAGCGTGTCCACGCGTGCCGCGCACATGTGCTCAGCGGGACTAGCGGGGGTCATAAATCGCATGCGCGAAAGCCGCAGCGAGGACGTGATGCGCATCACGGTGGGCGTGGATGGCTCCGTGTACAAGTTGCACCCTAGGTTAGCTTCTACCTTAGCTCCCGGGTCCAACCTCTTCCTACTAAAGGGAGACCTGGCTCTTAGCGCCAGGCAATTGGGAGCCCTCCTGCCAGGCTTCCCTAAGGTGCTGAGGGTGCTGCAGTCAGAGAGCCTCCGGTAAATGGATGGGTGGGTGGCAAGGGTGAGAGTGGGAGGAGAAATGCAGCCCTGTTTTTCCCCTGTTCAGTTTCAAGGAGCGGTTCCACGCCAGTGTGCGCAGGCTGACACCCAGCTGCGAAATCACCTTCATTGAATCAGAGGAGGGCAGCGGCAGGGGAGCAGCGCTGGTCTCTGCGGTGGCCTGCAAGAAGGCCTGCATGCTGGGCCAGTGAAATGGAGGCCACAAGGACAGGGACTTGGGCTCCATGGGGACTCCACACCCCACAGGTGCTCCCAGCCCATCAGGGCAGGAGATCGATTCTGCTGCTACCCCCTGGAAATGGGGAGAGGCCCCAGCAAGCCGAGCAGTCAGTGGGACAGCCCCGGGGCTCTCAGCCTGGGGCAGGGGGCTGGGAGGAGGAAGAGGATCAGAGGCACCAAAGCCTTCCTGCCAGGATGGACTACAGAGAAGGCGCTGCACACTCAGGACTTACATTTCCACTCTTCTTGCCTCTTGCAGCTGTGGGTCGGGCCTCCCGAGGGAGTGTGGACCTTGGGATGGTCTGGCTCCCCTGGGAACGCACCTTGCCTGGGGAAATAGCTCCAGCCGCTTGGCCAGACCAGACCTGGGCTCCCAGAAGAGCAAGGGCTGCTGGTCACCCAAGCCTGGCTGTTTTCTTGCCTGTAACAGAAGAGGCTGGGGAGCTATAGGAGACTGACTGTCCAGCCACATGGAGGGGACTTTCCAGGCCACAGACACCCAGAGAGACTTTCCTTTATATACCTCTACCCCTGAGTGACTTATGGTTCTGGGATGAGCCCTCCCAGGAGACACCAGAGAATAGTGCCCAAATACCATGCTGCCTCTCTATACCAACCTGGGACTGTGGGGGAGTTTTTAATTAAATATTTAAAAATACTTAAACATGGTCTCTCCGTTGTTCTTTGACGGTTGTGCATAAGGATTGTTGTGATAACATACAAAGAAACATCACTGGTGTCCTTAGGTACTCCCTCAACTTGGCTGTGTCTCAGAAGTTGCTGTGAGCTCCAGACACCGCTCAGGGAAGTGTGAGTGGTAAGCTTTGGGACTGGGTGACATGGGGACATTCCAGGCACTGGATGGCCCTCCTCTAGACCCAGGTCCCTGTTTGCCCCCGCAGCATGTGAAAGACATCGGTCAGGAATGTCAGCCCTGATGGCTCTCTGGTTCAGCTATAGGTTGGTCTCAGCAGTACTTTGTCTCCTCAGAACCATGGAGGACGCAACAGTGAGTAAGGGCCAGGGTTATGTGATATCAAACAATTTCTAAGTCTCCCCAGAGGAGAACACTGGTAGGTGAAATCACAAAGGCCCTAATGCCTTTTCTATACAGCATAGACATACTTGCAGGTAAACACAGACGTATATTAATTTAAAGCACATTTATTTCTCAATGGAACTACTCAGTAGGTCAAAGGCAACTGTTCTGTTTCATTCAGAAAACAAACATAAAAACAAACAAAACATGGGTGATTTTGGGGAAAGTCGAGCCTTCCTTGAAATCTTATCATTTCTGGTGATCCTCGAATAGAACTGCTTTGGACCATCTTCACTGTCTTGAACCAACACCAGCCTTTGCTCATGTCAACAGAGTAAGGTGTCCATATTGAACAGAATTTTAGTATAGATCTTTGTCTTCTCATCTTCTTTCATTTCTCTGGAAATCTGGAATCTGGAGAATTGTACCTGTTAGTGTTCAGGCATCGGTACTGGCCTGTCCTTGGGGTTCTGATAGGATACGCCCTCAGCTACAGCCACTAAGAGCACCATCTGTGCATATTCACTATGTTCCCCTTTAAAAGGGCCCTGCCCACCTCCCACTCTCCTCTCTCTCTCTCTCTCTCTCTCTCTCTCTCTCTCTCTCTCTCTCTCTCTCTCTCTCTCTTCCCCCACCCCTCTCCTCTCTCCTGCTCCTCCTGTCCCTTGAGGCTGGTCTCTCCCTCCCCTTTCCCTTTTCTATGCTCTCTTTCCCAAATAAGGAACCCTCTGCTTGAAGCCTGTCTCATGGCATCCTTCTCTTGAGCACCGCTTTTCTTAAATTACAACAGTTCTGATTTTTTTAAGTGTCTCGTTACACATCTATTTTGAATGAATGAACTTCATTTTCAGATACTAAAGGAGGTGTATTATAACACTCACACAGAAGGAGCCCTTGGGGCCACGTGTGCTGGTACAGGCTTGGAATCCAGGCTATCCCTGACCACATAGCTAATTCTATCCACAAACTGAAGGAGGGTGGGTGGGCTCGGGGCCCCACAGGGTAACCCACATTCTCCCAACCCACCTTGCATAGCTAAGTTGGGATGAGAAAACCCTGAACCCAGCCAGACGGCTACTCATACCATCCCCAAGCTTACCCAGCTTCTCTGACTCTTCTGCCACACTAGGGCCCTCAAGACGTTGACAGTGTTACTGCTTGGAACAGGAGCCCCTGGGACCAAAATTCAGAACCACTAGATGGGCTCTGTGAGTCACCATCACGGGAACCCTGGGGAAGTACCGTGCTCCAAACTTTCCCAGAAAACAGCCTCACACAGGCCTGCCCTGTGCCTGGCTCCCTGGACCCCAGATGCTGACCAGATGTTGAGCAGGCTGTGTTCAGGAGCAGACTCCAGCTCTCAGTTGGGAGTGTCAGAGAGTTTCCTGAGGTGGGGAGAGGATGGACTTAAGATGGAGCCTAACAAACACCAAGACTCACACAGGGTGGTGTGAGTGTCAGCAGGGCGCGGGTCTGAACGGGAGGAGAGCAGCTGTGATCTGTCGCCTCACAGCTCACAGCCTGCTCAAAGCCCTGTCTGTCTGCTGTCAGCCGGGCAGCGGGCCGGACCTCAGGGATGTTACCCGACCCAGAGGATTCAGGCCGTAGGCCATCCTTGGGAACATGCACTGCTTCTTGAATCCGCAGAGTAAGAATGGTGTAGCCAAAGTCCAGCCTGGACTTGCAGGAGGATGATAGAAGATGGGTCACAGGGACCCTTCAACACGACCAAGGATGCTAAAAGCTTGGAGCCTGTCTGCCCAGGGAAGGCATGGAGCCTGGTCACAAGAGCTGATGGATCCCAGGATGCCTGCCGCTCTTGGGTGCTTGAAGGTCACCAGGAGCGCGAATGGGACCTGCTTGGGGCCCTTGTCTTCCTCTGCCAGTGGGGGCTTCCAAGTTTAGCCCCGCCATCCGTTCCTCTCCTTATTTGGGCCTCTGGTTGATAAGGCTGAGACATAAAGAGGCTGGTGACAAGATGACACAGCCGGACCGCTGCAAACCATGGTGAGTGCTGGCTGGGGCACAGAGACCAGGCCCCGGATGGCAGTCTCTGCTCTGCAGAAGGGCAGAGCCTGTGTAGGCCCAGGGAAGTGATCTCCGGGGGTGGAGAAACGTCCCTCCAGCCCGAGGCTACACATGGCAGGGAGGGGGACTTTGGAGAACTGGAGAGGGGACCCTCTCACCATCAGTGTTACAGGCCAGCAGGAAGGCTGGGACCCGGGGCAAGGCTGCGGCCACCAAGCAGGCCCAACGTGGCTCTTCCAATGTCTTCTCGATGTTCGAACAAGCCCAGATCCAGGAGTTCAAGGAAGTGAGTACTGTGTCTGCAAAGCCTCTCAGCCACCAGGGGAGCCCACTCCATGCCCCTTCCACACTTCTCTGAGGTTCCTCCCTCCAACCTCGCTCCTCATACCACCCAGGCTCTCCCTTTCCTCCTGCCTCCCCTGGGAGAGAGGGGGTAGCAGCTCCCACCTGAAGGCTCTCCTCACAGGCCTTCAGCTGCATTGACCAGAATCGAGACGGCATCATCTGCAAGTCAGACCTGAGGGAGACCTATTCCCAGCTCGGTGAGTGGGCCCAAGGGCCTGCCTCCCAGGGAGCCATCCCAGCCTCCTCCTCGGAGACAGGACAGTGCCCTGCCCGTTACCTCCTTACACATCCCTCGGTCCAGTCACACATCCCACCCCCCGCCAGCCCCACAGCTGGAGCTGCCCCTGAGTCTCCTCACTGCCCGGGAAGCCTGGGAGGGCAGCCTGGGTCATGCATGTCCTGCCCTCACAGGGAGGGTAGGTGTCCCCGAGGAGGAGCTGGACGCCATGCTGCAGGAAGGGAAGGGCCCCGTCAACTTCACCGTCTTCCTCACACTCTTCGGGGAGAAACTCAACGGTGAGTCTGCCTCATGCCAGGCTGCTTAGCCACTGAGCAGACCCGGCCTCACCTGAAACCTGTGGTCCATCAGTGACCTCCAGGAAAGATCCTAGCTCCTTGTACCATGGCATGAGTTCTTCCTGGGTGGGGCCCAGAGGCTGGGGATGTGAGAGTTCACCTGGCTGCCTCCACCCCTAGGGACGGACCCTGAGGAAGCCATCCTGAGCGCTTTCCGAATGTTTGACCCCAGCGGCCAGGGGGTGGTGAACAAGGATGAGTGAGTGAGGCCCCCCGGCCCCCCCACCCCCGGGGTGGGCACCACAGGGAGACGAGAGGGTGGTGAGGTCCTCTGTGTGTCTCAGGTCGTCACCACACTCTGGCCGGTGGCCAGCCCTTCCCTGTGCCCTCGACGCTCTCCCTCCCAGCTCAAGCCTTCTCATTCCTCAGGTTCAGGCAGCTTCTTCTGACCCAGGCAGACAAGTTCTCTCCTGCTGAGGTGAGACAGCCTGGCCCGACCACTCTAACACTGGGAAGCCTCATGACCCACTGCCCAACGGGGCTCACAACCCACATCCTATGCAGTACAAGCTAAAGGGGCAACGGGGTCTTCCCGGAAGAGACACCAGCCTCAGAGAGGGTGGCTTGTCTTTGTGGTCAGGTGGCCTTTGCCCGTCCCGTTCGGACCCACTCCCTAGCCCGCCCACCAACAGATGAAGCGTCTGACCGCAGTTGGGGTTGACGAGGCTCAGCCCCCAAGCACAGCTCTTGGGACAGGGCGTCACTGGGCCATGCCTGTGTGGTCCCTCCTGCAGGTAGAGCAGCTGTTTGCCCTGACCCCCATGGACCTGGCAGGCAACATCGACTACAAGTCCCTCTGCTACATCATCACCCACGGGGATGAGAAAGAGGAGTGAAGGCAGGCTGGGATCACCTCAATAAACTCTGTGGCTGAACTACAACTGCGGTGTTGGCTGACTCTGACACGCACAATGGGGATGGGCAGGCAGGGGACGTGGGACCCCCATGAAGTCCCGCCTTGGTTCACCCTGCACTACCAAGTAAAAGATGAGCCTTTAGTTTGCCCACCGCTGAACTCAGAGCGGACATGGGATGCACACGGCCTCCACGAGGCCCAGGAATGAGTCACAAGTGGGCAGCCCAGCTCCTGAGCTCTGACACCCCACGGACGTTCCGCCCAGCAGTTCAGCCAGGGGATGCAGGATCTTCACCAGCGTAGCCTCCCCTATGCACAGGCCCCCTGGCCAGTCTCCTCTTGATACGCTGGCTGTGTGGACCCTGCGGGAAAAGCACAGAGGAGCCTGTTTACAAACACAGCCAGAAGCAGAGGGATGGCTCACTGGTGGGTGCACTGCCTAGCATGTCCTGTGTTCCGTTCCCAGTGAGCACCCCTCCCCTAGGGAAAGAGAGAGAGGGAAGAGGAGAGGGGAAAGGGAGGAGGGTATCACAGTTGCACTGGAGGCACAGGAAGACAGTGACACGGTGGGACGTGGACGCTGGAGACAGATCACATGCAGATGCTGGAAACTGGCCTTCTGCTCACGAGGCCCTCATGTCCAGGGTTCTGTCCCTGGGTCACTGGGTCATACAACTGGAGAGCAGGGAGAAGACCACCTCTACATAACTGTTAGTGCCCCCCCCGCCCAATTTCCTGTCCCTGCCAGAACCACGGGTTATAGCAGTAGGTGACTTCCGAGAAAGTACTTAGAGGCAGAAAACTAGTGACTGCTCAGCCAGACCAGAGCTGAGCAACAGCTCTGAGCCTCCTTCCAAACCTGCGGCAATATCTCTCAGCTTGGAGCTTGGAGAGGTGAGAAAGAACGAGAGAAAAAGAGGAGAGGAGAAGGCAGAGGGGAGAAGGAGAGAGGGAGGAGAGGAGGAGGCAGAGGGACACACACGTGCGCGCGCGCGCACACACACACACACACACACACACACACACACACACACACACACGAGGGTCCCTTCATGAAGGAGAGGGAGAAAAGACCTTTTACCTAGCTTCAATCTGGACCTGACAATTTAACTAAATAGAGACTTGCTATTTAAAGCAACCAAGGCCATTTCAATGGCTTATAAGTGGTCACAATGGCTGAAGAGATGGCTCTGCAGTTAAGAGCACTGACTACTTTTCCAGAAGACCTGGATTCAATTCTCAGCACCCACATAGCAACTCACAACTGTCTGTAATTCCAGTTACAGGGGACCCAACACCCTCACACAGACATACGTATAGGCAAGACAGTAACACATATAAAATAAATAAAATACAAGAAATAAATAAAATACAAACAAATAAGTGGTCATAAAAACCTACATTTGCACCCAGAGGCCAGGGCAGCCCACTCCGCTGGGAACGCCAGCAGGTACAGCATAGACAAATCTAGTAGCTGTGCTGATGCTGTGACAGGTCAGCCAGCAGGTCTCATAGAGCAAGAAATACTTGTAACCCACGGCTCCACGGGGAGACTGAAATGCATGAAGGGTCACAGAGGCCAGGTGTAACGGGGGGGAGAGCCAGGGGAGGGGGAGGGGGACTGTTATCCCAGTGCCCAGAAAGCAGGGGACCAGGAGTCAACGCCAGCCTGGGCAGCATGGCAGAACCCTCTTCCAGAGAAAGGATCTGGAGACTGGATGGGGTCTTTGCTCTTTTCGTTGCCTTTGAGGATTGCACACTCTGTCGGCTATGGAGAGCTCATCTGCGGACATGCAGCAGTGCCGACGGTTCCCCTCCGCTCTGGGAGAAGCCAGCCTTTCATCTGTCCAGCAGATTCACCTCAGCTCTCCTGACTGCCCACACACCCGGTTTCCCTGCATTTGTTGGGTGTAGCATCTCCATGGCTCCCTCGTGAATGAGCAAATAAACCTCTGCCTGGTGTTCATTTTGCTTTGTGTTTCAGTCAAGGTCCTGCTGTGCACCTGGCCGGCAGGGGTGGGGTGTCTTTTAATGGGCTACAGAGCTCAGTTTCTGTGTGAGCATGAGGACCTTGGAGTCCCCAGAACCTATGTGAAAAGCTGATGTGGTGGTGAATGCTTGTACGCCAGTACTGCAGAGGCGGAGGCAGGTGGATTCCCGAAGCTCACTGGCCAGCCAAGCTAGGCTGGTCAGTAAGTAACAGGCCAAGTGAAAGACTGTCCCAGAACAAAAGCAAGTTGGCAGTGGTGGCGCATGCCTTTAAACCCAGCACTCCACTCGGGAGGCAGTGGCATCTCTCTGAGTTCAAGGATGGCCTGGTCTACAGAGAGAGTTCCAGGACAGCCAGGGCAGTGAAACCCTGTCTGGAAAAACCAAAAAACAACAACAAAAAAGAAATGGCACACGAGGTTGCATACACACACACACACACACACACACCACACACACATACCACACACACCACACACCACACACATACCACACATACACATACACACACACCACACACACACACCACACACACACACCACACACACACACCACACACACATACCACACACACACCACACACACATACCACACACACACACACCACACACACATACCACATACACACATACCACAC